CGCTCAACCTCTGCCACAAGCTCCGGCTCCTTCCCCACCAGCGAGGTGACGTTCCATGTCCCAAAAACTAGTTTCCTTGTCCGGGGATTGGACCGCCAAGGCTCCCGCCTTGGTCTGCCACCCGATTCACATTGCACCGGACCCTTCATGTTCCTCCTGCGGGTGGTGGGTCCACAGTTGGACGAGCCCATGTATCCGGTTCGGGCTGGGCCCGGCCGGGCCCCATGGGCGAAAGCCCGGCCACCAGGCGCTCGCTCACGGGCCCCAACCCCAGGCCTGGCTCCAGGGTGGGACCCCGGTAACCCTCCGGGCCGGGTACTCCGACTCTTCGTTTTCACCGCCATGAAAGATCCTTCGAACCGTTCTTTGTCTCACCCTAAAAAAATATATTAAAACTGACCCGCTGGCCGATTTTACGGCAAAGACTACAAATCCCTTGATGCTTTGCGGCGTTAGCGCGGAACCCAACTGCCCCCTCTTTTATATTTTTTCCAGCATCTGCTGCCGGTGTCTGCAGCTCACTGTCTCAGACAAACTAAACACTCCTCTCACTGAGCGCCGAGTTTACTCAGCTATTTTATGACATTGAAGCCTAAAAACGGAGATTTTAACCGCTCAGTAAAGTGTTCACGACTGAAAGAGAGTTTTCCAACTAACTACAGAGCTGATATAACTCCAGCGAGCAGCGACACGCTCAAATCAGCATGACTCTGTGGCAGCTGTCGTTGTTAGTTTTCCTCCCCGACACACAACAACGTGGTCAAGCTGCTCAGACATGTTCATCAGCACAAACCTTTGTGAGCACCTGTTGTCATGTGATCATTATTATGATGAAGATGACCAAAACAACAGGAGTCTCCTCCTCAGCTCAGGCTGGTATCTGGCTGGAACAGGTGAGCATCACAGTAAATTAGTGGAGCAAACTGAGCTTTAAATATTTTGGTTTTATGCTCTTTTTTCTGCTCCAAAACATGAAAGTTAACAGGTGAGATATAGCATTTTCATGTCAATTCAGTTCAATTCAATTCAAAAATACTTTATTAATCCCAGAGGGAAATTGATTGCTGTAGTAGCTCAGAATAATAATAATAATCAAGTCATCAAAGAATTATTGTATATTACAATGGCTGTTGGCAGGAAGGATCTCCAGTAGCGGTCAGTGTTGCAGCGAAACTGACGAAGCCTCTGACTGAAGACACTCTTCCATTGTCGGACAGTCTTGTGAAGAGAATGCTCAGGGTTGTCCATAATTTTCATGATCTCTGGAGAATCTTTCTTTGCATTATCTCCTCCAGTGGTTCCACAGTCGTCCCCAGAACATAACCAGCCTTTTTTATTAGGCTGTTGAGCCTTTTCAGGTCCCTGCTTCTGATGCTGCTACCCAACAGACGATGGCTGAAGAGATTACTCTCTCAACAACAGACTTGTAGAAGATCTGCAGCATCTTGCTACAGACATTGAGGGACCTAAGCATCCTCAAGAAGTGCAGTCTCCTGTGCCCCTTTTTGTAAACAGCTCTGCTGTTCTTTCTCCAGTCCAGTCTGTTGTCCAGGTGAACTCCAAGGTATTTGTATTCCTCAACCACCTCCACTTCTTCTCCCATGATGGAAGCAGTGTTTGACTCCACCCTGTTTCTTCTGAAGTCTAAAATCATCTCCTTTGTTTTGTTCACATTCAAGGTCAGATGATTGTTTCCACACCATGCCACAAAGCGCTCCACCATCTCTCTGTACTCAGCTTCCTGTCCATCTCTGATACACCCGATGACTGCAGAGTCATCTGAGTATTTCTGTAGATGGCAGGTCTCTGATTTGTACTGGAAGTCTGAGGTGTGCAGGGTGAAAAGAAATGGTGAGAGTACAGTCCCCTGTGGTACTCCAGTATTACTGTTCGCCTGGTTTGATGTGCAGTTCTTCAGCCTCACAAACTGTGGTCTGTTTGTCAGGTAGTCTTTAATCCAGATGATAGTTGAGGCCTCCACCTGTGTCTTCTGGAGTTTCTGGCAAAGTACATCAGGCTTGATTGTGTTAAATGCACTGGAGAAATCAAAGAACATGACCCTGACAGTGCTGTCTGCTTTGTCCAGATGACAGTGGATTGGTTGAAGCAGCTGGATGATGGCATCTTCAACTCCAACTCCATGGCGATAAGCAAACTGCAGCGGGTCCTGATACGTTCTAGTTTGCTTATTCAGGTGGACCAACGGGAGTCTCTCCAGGACCTTCATGATGTGGGATGTCAGGGCAACTGGCCTGTAGTCGTCACTGACTGATGGGCGAGTTTTCTTTGGAACTGGAACAAGGCAGGATGTCTTCCACAGGACTGGAACCTTCTCCTGGGCCAGGCTGAGGTTGAAGAGGTGCTGCAGAATCCCACAGAGCTGCTCTGCAAAGGCCTTCAGTACCCTGGGGCTGACACCATCTGGACCTGCAGCCTTGTTCCTGTTCAGTCTCTCCAGCTGCCTCTTCACCTGATTTCTAGAGACAGATAGGTGGGAGGGGGAGGTAAATGGGGCAGCAGCATCTCCTGACTTGGTTGAAGACAGGTTTATAAAACCAGAAGAGTCCATGACTGCGTTAGAGGACAAAAGAGCTGGCGTGTCACAGGAAAATGTTGGATCAGAGGAGGATGGGATGTCTGATTGGCTGGGGACAGGCAAGGAGGATGCTGGGTTTGTTCCTGAACTGAACCTATTGAAGAACTTGTTCAGTTCATTGGATGTGTCCAGGCTGCCATCTGTGCAATCCTTCCTCTGCTTGAAGCCTGTGATCTTCTTCATCCCTGACCAGACATCTCTGATATTGTTCCTCTGTAGTTTGTTCTCCAGCTTCTTCCTGTATGCCTCCTTGCTGTCTCTGATCTTGATCTTCAGTTGTTTCTGTGTATTCCTCAATAATTCCCTGTCTCCCTCCTTGAAGGCTCTTTTTTTCTCATTTAGCAGATTCTTCAGTTCACTGGTGATCCAGGGTTTGTTATTAGCGAAGCATCTCACTGTTCTGGTGGGTATGATAAAGTTTATATATTCAGTGACACATCCAGTCATGGCATTGATGTCCTCTTCATATCCTTGGCAGAGAGTCATCCAATCTGTGGTCTCAAAACAACTCTGCAGGGCTTCTTCAGCGTCCTGTGACCATTTTCTCACAATTCTTCTTCTCACAGGTTGCCTCTGAACAAGTGGTTTGTATTCTGAGCAGAGAAAAACAAGACTGTGATCTGATTGTCCCAGAGGAGGTCTTGTTTTGGACATGTATGCATTCTTTACATTTGCATAACACAAATCCAATGTCTTGTTTTCTCTGGGGGAGCAGCTGGCCAACTGTTGAAATGTTGGAAGTATAGCAGAGAGCGAGGCATGATTAAAATCACCAGATATAGCCACAAATGCATTGGGGTGCTGGGTTTGTAGCTTAGCGACAACGGAACTGATGGCATCACATGCATTTTCAGCAATGCTGAAAGAGCAAGTCACCCCCAAATAAACTTTTTTTTGCTGATAAACTAAATAAACGAGTGTCTAATCGTGCTGCAGACACGTGTCGTCAATAAGTTTGCACTTCAGTGCATCTTAGTTAAAATTTAAATATTCTGCCTAAAACTGGCAGTTGTGCCGTTGTCAGGTAAAAACTCTGCACTGTATTCTAATTTAAATCTGCCACCGCTATTGGCTAAGAGGTATGCTATGATGTTAGATGGTACATTATGATGTCACAATGTCTTGAGTGTGTGTATTTGTTAGAGGCTCCGCCCTCTCGGTCTGCTAGGCAACAGCATTTGTTGCATTTTTCAAACAGGAAGTGGGAGTTACATAAGAATCTGGCAGGGGTTGACTTGCTCTTGAAGGTGGAATATAAACGGTTGCCAAGACAACACTGGAGAACTCTCTAGGCAAATAATATGGGCGACAACTTACTGCCAAGAGTTCAACATCTGGGTTGCAGAGACGACATTTCACTGAAACATGACCTGGATGGCACCATCTGTTGTTGACAAGCACTGCCACTCCACCTCCTTTTCTTTTCCCGCTCCTCTTCAGATCTCTGTCTGCTCGTACAGTCAGGAATCCTGGCAGAGGGACGCTGGAACCGGGGATATGGTCCTGCAGCCACGTCTCAGTGAAACACATAACACTACACTGCCGATACTTTGGCTGAGTCCTTGAAATGGCTTGGAGTTCATCCATCTTGTTGGCCAGTGATCTCACATTGCCCATTATGATCGATGGAAGCAATGGTTTGAATTTCCTCTTTCTCTGTCTCCGTTTTGCTCCCGCTCTGCACCCACGCTTCTTGCGTTTTAGCTCATTTGGGATTTGTGGCTTCAGTTGAGGCATTATTTCAGCCTTTCCAATGTTAATCAGCTGCTCCCAATTGTAAACCAGCTTGATGTCATGGTTATGCATCATAACAAATGCTCAAAAAGTGAAAAAAATAGTAGTCAAAATCCTCCAAGCTTCAAAGCACCAGAAACAAAAAAGTAAAATGTCCAAAAAAAAAAAAAAAAAAAAAAACAGTTTTTCTTGAGAAACTAGAAGAAAAAATGTCCAAGAAAAGGATAATGTACATATAGTCAACAGAGCTACTCCAACATGCAGCCACCCAGAGAAGCGCAGTTCCGGAAAAAATTTTAAAAAATGAGGTCCTCAAGAGGCGCCATGGGCGTCGATTGAGTCAGCCGAGTTCGGAGTGTCCAATCACCGAATGAAATGACAGCCTTAACCCCAGAGACCCACGGTTGTAATATTACAACACCAGATTTAAGTCTACAAAAATAAACCTTCCCCATTTGTTTTCTTTTTAAAACCACATTTACATTGCTAATAGGTCCTATTGTTCAGTTCTGCAACACTATTGGCTGTTAAAATGTGTAAATAGGCCCATTTATCTGGCCCCCTAGAACAACATGTGAAAGATTTAAAAAAGGATATTGCAGTTGTTTTTTTAAATCTGGGTTTCTGGGGGTTAATGCGTCGGAGCAGGTCCCCCCCCCCCCAAAAAAAAAAAAAAACAGGAAAGGAAAAGCTTCGACATCAGCTACAAACATTGGATGGCTCACTGACATGTCTCCCACTGAGAAGTTTAGGAAAATCATATTCGACATTGACAGAGAGGCGCATCCACCTCCGGTGTGCCCCAGACATAAGACAGCATGGGATAAACTTCCACTGTTATGCTGACAATACTCAGTTGAATTTATCTATTAACACTGATGAACCGAATTGGTTAGGTAGATTACAGGCTTGTCTTGAAGGCATAAAATTGGATGACTCTAAACTTTCTGCTTTTAAATCAAGACCAGACTGAAGTTCTCATCTTTGGACCAGAACATCAGAAAAGAAAACTGCTTAATCAATCAACTGACCTGAACGACATTAAATTAGTCTCCGAGAACAAAGTAAAGAACCTTGATGTTATCTTTGATCAGGACATGTTATTCAAATCCCAGGTTAAACAGGTTTGTAGGGTTTCCTTCTTCCACCTTTGGAATATTGCTAAGATTAGTGACATTCTTTGCAGGAGTGATGCTGAAAAACTAGTGTATTCATTCATTACATCAAGACTGGATTACTGTAATTCATTAATATCAGGAAGTTCACAGAATGTAGTTAAAAGACTTCAGCTTGTCCAAAATGCTGCAGCTAGAGTTCTGATGAGAATTAGAAAGAGAGATCATATCTCTCCTGTTTTGGCTTACCTACATTGGCTGCCTGTTAAATTCAGAATAGATTTTAAGATCCTCCTTCTCACATATAAAGCTTTTAATAATCAAGCTCCATCATACATCAGTGATCTGATTGCTCCCTATGTTCATAACAGAGCACTTTGCGTTCAGACTACAGGCCTACTGGTGGTTCCCAGAATGTCTAAAAATAGGATGGGAGGCAGATCTTTTAGCTTTCAGGCTCCTCTCTTGAGGAACCAACTCCCAGCTTTAGTCCGTGAGGCAGACACTTTGTCTACTTTTAAAACTAGGCTTAAAACATTTTTATTTGATTGGGCCAACGCTTAAAATCTGATGTTAGCCCAGATCTGAACAAGTGGGGGAGTAGAGGGAGGTGGAGTGTACAGTCGGTAAAGACGGCTCTCCCTTGCCCTGCCTCTAACATGTCTCCATCTAAAAGACTAGATTATCCAGAGTTATCTCTGTAGTTATGTTGCTGTAGGCTTAGACTGCTGGAAGACTTACTGACCACTTTCCACTCTCAACTACTTTCTTTTACACTTTGTATTTTAACTGCATTATTTCCTACCTACCTACCTACCTGGTTAATCCACATGCGTATTTCATGAGCACTTTTTTAACTCCGACGTACCCCAAGGACTTAGTTGTTCATCCTTTTATCAAAACTTATTTTGAGCCTGAGAAGGTAAACTTTATTTTTTCTCTAAGTGTTTTCCCCCAAATAAAGCTACAATGGTGTTCTGCTGAGCTGTGCTAGCCTCATGGTTGGGTCGCTGATTTAGCGTTATAAAAACAAACTTGAATTGAAAAATTGAATTGAAGGCTCTGGGGGTGTATGATATCCGCCCGGAGTGGGAGTACTTTGCTAGAATGGGGTACCAGGCACTCTGATGTGGGCTGTTAGGTCCCTGTATGACTGGTGTCAGAGCTTGGTCCACATTGCTGGAAGTAAGTCGGGCTCATTCCCAGTGAGAGTTGGACTCTGCCAAGGCTGCCCTTTGTCACCGATTCTGTTCATAACTTATGGACAGGATTTCTAGGTGCAGCAAAGGAGTTGAGGGCATTCGATTTAATGGCCAGAGGATCGGGTCTCTGCTTCTTGCAGATGATATGGTCCTGTTGGCTTCATCAGCACATGATCTTCAGCTTTCGCTGGAGCGGGTTGCAGCCGAGTGTGAAGCAGCTGGGATGAGAATCAGCTCCTCTAAATTTGAGACCACAATCTTGAATTAGAAAAGGGGATGAGGTCCTGCCCCAAGTGGAGGAGTTTACTCCTCCACTAAGTGAGTTAAAAAAATGCCTTCTAGTGTGTTAAAACCTTTAACAAAGTTTTAACCAGGTGTTTTTAATGTTGATAATTGGTCTTTTAAAAGTTAACATTTTAGTCCTGTTTTCATTTTGCATTTATTTTACTAATGCTCACCATCTGTTTGCTCTCTTGTTTTTAGAACCATTTATGGCAAATCAAACAAATTTTTAATTCCACTGCCCTGTTTCGTGTAACCCCCACCGTTCACACATTTTACATCAGAGTTGGGGTTTAACACAGCTAAAAACATTTTAAAGAAGTTTAGTTGGCAGGGTGTCCAGACAGCAGGTAGATGAATTTAAGATCGTTATTATGTCCCCCCAGTGTTTTAGCAGTAATCACACTGAAAACTGGCCACAAACCTGTGTTGCTGTAGCTGTGGTCTGATTTTGCATGTTGACATGGAGGAATGAATGGTCGATCTGATGTTAATGATTTTCTCATAGTAGAACAGGTCTTGGGTCATGAAATGGAATAATATATTTTATTAATGAAGAACTTTAGAGATTTTGTAAAAAGACAAGGTTAAACAGACAGATTATGCAACAATAAAAAAAACTGTAAAACAGAGTTTTGATGGTGGAGAGGTCAGAGCAGTTGTGGAGAGGTTGTGGGAGTGAGTTCTAGAGGGTGAGGACAGCCATGGAGAAAGCTGAGTCTCCCCAAGTTCAGAGCTTGGTCCTGTGGGAGAGGGAGGAGAGGCAGAGGGATGGGGCATGGTGGTGGAGCGGGTTAGAGAGGTAGGACGGCTCGCGGTTATGAAGGACTTTGAATGTTATGCAGTGAGGGAGAGGAAGTCGATGGAGGTGATGTGGTCACTGGTTAGGAGACAGGCAGGACAATTCTGGATGTCTTGAAGTTTGTTGAGGGCTTTGGATGGGATTCCACATAGATGCTATTGCTGTAGTTGATTTATGATGTGATGAATACATGAATAAGGGTTTCAGGGACAGAGAAACAAGGGAAGATCAAAGTCTAACAAAATCCAATCCAATCACATGACTAAAAGTTCCTGGAATACCTGCACCACCAATTCACCTTTTTCACTTCTTTCACCACAATCTACCCCTTCACAATTCTGTCTGCCCCCTCAAATATGCCAGCCTAGAACCGGCCCTGCTCTCTACAAACATTTATGTTTATAATGTAGGAAATGAAGAAAACTATTTTCTCCTTCACTGGACTTTAGATTTTAGAATTGTAAACTGTTCAGGAGGTTGTACGTCCCTCAGTCCACGGTATCTACAGTATGTTGGCCTCACAGGAGCCGGGCTTCAGGATCTGTAAAGTTACAATATGTTTAACAGCTTTTCTGAACCAGGGATAAAACATGGCATAGATCAGAGGGTTTAGACAGGAGTTAAGATACATAAGAAGGAATAAGAATGATACATATGTTGTAGTTGTAAAGCTATCTATAAAATAAAAGCAGCAGTAATATGGACAGAAACACATCAGATACACAACAACAAGAACACCCAGTGTTCTGGCTGCTTTTAGCTCTGATTTCTTTGTTTGTTGTTGCACTGAAAGCTGAAGGGTGACACTTCTATTGTGAGAGTACATGGCACGAGCCTGAGTCACAGCCACCACAAATACTCTCATATACAGAACTATGATGACTGTAACTGGAAATAAAAAGGTTATAAACAGATCAAAAGTTCCTACAAAATAGTCAAATGATACTGTACATTCTCCAATGCAGGAATTACTCCTGCCTGGCTGAGTCAGCTCATCTTTTAAGAAGAAAATTACATAGAAAGCAGCACAGCTCCAACAAAGACAAACACAGAATTTCATTCTTGGTAAGGTTATTCTAATGGGATAATGCAGAGGGTAACAAATAGCCACATAGCGATCAGCTGATATGAGAACAATGGTTCCAACTGAAGCACCGAGAGACAAAATGGCAACATAGTAGTAAAATAAACATGTGATATTACCGAGTATCCAGCATTTTGTCTTTCTAAAGATTTCAAATGGAATGATTAAAAAACCAACAAGGAAATCTGACACAGCCAGAGAGAGGATGAGGATGTTAGCAGGTTTCTGCAGCTTCCTACAAAGAAACAAAGTCAGTCAGTGAGGTTAAAATAACTTACGCAGCGTAGAATCACATTCTGATCAGATAGAAATATTGATAAATGTGATGTTTTTCTTTTTAATATCTGCCTGAAATAGGAGACTGAGATTATGATGAGAAGGTTTAGAACTGCTGTGATCAGAGAGAAGAAGGACAACACGATGTTCAGGAGGACAGCTTCAGACCAGTGAGGTGTTGGCCTCCTGCAGGACCTGTTGAGTTGTGGAAAACAGAACTCAGCTTCATTCTGAATCTCCATCATCAGACGGATACTGCTGTCTGAGTAGAACCCTGTCACACAGATAATTTATCCTTTTCCTTCATTACACAATTCCAATTTGATCTGAGCACTAACATTACTCTTCCCTTGTGGCCAAAAACATCAAGGCAACAAAAACAGGCTAACATCATATGATGTTAGACAGACGTCTCCATGGACTAGTAGATGCCCGTCCGTAGGGGGCTTTAGGACACCATCCTCACTTACTTGAAACAACAAAATAGTTAAAACCTCAAAAGTTATTTATATATTTTAGGGATCTCCAACCTTTTTTGGCATGTGAGCTACTTTTACACAATGAAAGTACGATTAGTTCACATAGATATTTTCCATGTGTGAATAAGCTTAGTTAAAAAAATGCTATGTTACTATATTAACATGCATTGAATTCACAAGTTCATTTCTCTTTATCATCAATGTTATTAAAAATGTTTTCAAAATAATTTAAGTTCAAGGAAAATAGTGACATTCTGAAAATTAAACAAGACATTTTTTAACTAGTCAGATAACGAAATACAAATCTATTTTGTGTGAATATTTTAAATAGATCAGTAACATAACTTTTTGAGAACACAGGAACAGCTAACCTGTTCTTGTTCAGACCCTGACGCAGTGCTCTGCCCATAGCCTCAGCAGCAATGTCAGCTTTTCATAGTACCGTAAATCCTCTAATACAGGCCCGGGCCTGTATTTGACTCAAGCTCATCAAGCTCCAGGCCTTTATTGGAAGGAGGACCAGTATTAGAGGCAGGCCTCTATTTCTATTTGAGCAAAATGAACTAATGGTTCGCTGGAGTTTTTGACAGTTAAAATTGCGCCCACATTTTCAAAGTTAAACACATTTCTTTTAACAACGGTAGTTTCTGCTTCAGCCCTCTCCCCCCTCCCCCTGCGCAGCGGCTGCAAACTCACTGATGCGCCTGCAGCCTCTCGGAGTTCCTGCTGCTCTAAACATTAAAATAATTATTTCATTTTCTGTTCCTCACTTCTGATTACCTTCAATGGTGTCTGTTTGTTGCACCCACCAGGTACAAAAACTAACTTGTTTTTATTTGACAATTTTTCTGTCCTGCCTGTTTATTATCTTCCTGCATCTCCTCTCAATCCTAAAGAAAAACTGCTACCTGGGTTCATATACTGTATATTGACCTTATGAGTTACCTTTGAACTGCAGTTCTAAAAGAGCTACCGACCGCAAAAACAGTGGAGCGCTCCCTGCTTGGCGGCCGTATCATACAGTCCGAGCAATAAACGCGGAAGTTAGATCCAAACACCCGTTGTGTGGGAGAAGCATCGAAATGAACTGTTTAATCTGCCCATCATTTGTGTTGAGACATCAGCAGTGTTTGGATCAACAAAGGGCGACTACTTTGACAGTAGAAACTGTATTTATGGCTTATTTTTGTGCATTTAAAGTTCAGCCGCCATTGATAGTTGTTAAAAGTTGTTAAACCTGTGCATATGAAACAAAAAACGCCTTTTGTTTATCGATTTATTGTGAAAAAAGGAAGTTGTGCTTGCTCCTTTTCCAGTTGGGCAGTTGTGATTTCTGTCCATTGACTGCGGAGGTGCTCCGGCGAAAATAGGATCGATTCTATTTTTGCCGGACGCTGGAACAGAGGGCGGCGCACGGTGCCGCACTGCCGGAGCACGGCCGCAATAGTAGAATTGCTCTGATTGACTACAACGGGACCGATTTTTCTCCGGCGTTTGTGTTGGAGCGGAGCGGAGAGGAGGTAGTGGAATTTGCGTCGGAGGACAAGGTGATGCGCGCAGCGCCCCGCTCCACAGCATGCAACAAAACGCATCAGGCGCAAATAAAAGACAGAAAACATTAAAGGAAATGAACTGACATGAACGATCGTGTGTTAAATTAGTTTTTGAGGTGGCGACACCTGATTGTGGCCGTGCTCAGGAGGCAGATCTACCGACCGCGAAAACAGCGGAGCTCTCCCTGCTTGGCGGCCGCATCAGTGATCTGTGAGTCGGAGGACAAGGTGATGTGCCCCGCTCCACAGCAGCGAAACACATCAGGTGCAAATAAAAGACAGAAAACATTAAAGGAAATGAACCGACATGAACGATCGCGTGTCAGTACCTATGCTCTGACACAGCGCGTTGCCCCCTGAGCGTAGGAGCTTGTCACCTGCTGACAGCAGGCTGCTGTCTTTTCCGAGGGCTGCATCTTGCCGGTCATTATCACGTGACAGCGACTAGTCGACGACAGGCATAAAAAGTCACTATAGTGAAGTCGACTAGTTCATACAACCCCTGCTGCTGCTCCCCAGAGTGTTCTGCAGCATAATCAGCATGTTCTCTTTGAACTTGATAGTGTAATGACCTGGCTGGGGTTGTAAGCCAGGTGCATTCTGGGTATTGTGTTATATGTGTTTCCTATCGTTCTGCTGGTTCCTATGTGCTGATTTGCGTGTTGTGTGAGTGTTATGTAAGCCACAGGGAAGGTGATGTGTGTTCTGTGGAGTGGGTTGAATTAGCATGGTTAACTGACACCGTGACTCTGTGTGGTAGGAGCATGATAGAGGATCGGTGTCTGTAGCGTTACAAAGCGTTGAAGAAAAAGCCTAATAAAGGTCTGTGTGAACCTCTACTGCCTCCTGCTGGTTGATTTGGGGACTATAACCGTGCCGCTGAGACGCTCATATTTGCTTGTTACTACATTCCTCCCGGCCACAATAGGAGACCGGCCATTATTCACCTCCGCTGACTCCGACACCGGCCAAAATTGGAGACCGGGCCTTTAATTGAATACCGGCCTGTAATAGAGGATTTACGGTATTCAGCAATTTTATGATAAATGAACAAATACTTCTAAAACCTATCAAATGTCTTGGTAACACTTTACAATAATGATCCCAAAATTGTCTCACCTAATGAGGAACTAACGATAAATGAATCAGGATTTATTGGTTACCTAAGCTTCACAACCACTCCATGGTGGATTTATTAGCTGATTCTTGAATGATTATGCACCAAACTACAGTTCAGAATACCCACCATTTTTGGAGACTTTGGAGGGGGTGCTGGAAAGTGCTCCTTCCAGTGACTCCCTCGTTCTGCTGGGGGTCTTTAACGCTCACGTGGACAATGACAGTAAGACCTAGAGAGGTGTGGTTGGGAGGAACGGCCCAGCGAACTGAATTCGAGCTGTGTTTTGTTATTGGACTGGTGTTCATATGTGCTCTCGGCACCAGGATACCTTAGGCCGCAGCTCGATGATCGACTTTGTTGTTGTTTCGTCTGATCTGAGGCCGCATGTCTTGAACACATGGGTCAAGAGAAGGGCGGAGCCAGTTTATGAAGAAGTTCCCAAAACCAAATTTATGTAAAGTTGCAAATAAGAACTTCCAGTTAACTCTATCAAAAGCCTTTTTTGCATCTAGAAATAATATACTAGTTTTTAAGTTTCTACTGTAAGAGAAATCTATCAAATTAAGTAATCTACGTGAGTTCGTGGATGACAGTCTACCCTTGATGAAACCAGTTTGGTCAGGGTGTATTATGAAGGGGGTTACCTTCTTTAATATTTTTGCCAGGGATTTACAAATTATTTTGAGATCAACATTAATAAGAGAAATTGGGCGATAGCTGGTAGGAAATGTAGGGTCTTTGCCTGGTTTTAAGAAGAGGCTAATATTGGCTGAATTCATGTTCAGCTGTAATCTGCCGCTCTCTTCGATTTACCTCACCATTCTGAAAAAATGTTGGAGCCAAAATGATCCAGAATTCTTTGTAGAACTCTGCTGGAAACCCGTCTGGACCTGGAGCGTTCGTATTCGTCATGGATTTAAGGGCTTCCTGGAGCTCAGCTAATGTTAGTGGCAAGTCCAGGACTGTAACTTGGCTGTCTGATAATTTAGGAAGTGTTATCCTGTCAAGGAACTCATTGATCTCATTATCTGATGGGTTTATCTGTGGTGAGTACAAAGTTTGGTAAAATTCTCTGAAAGTGTTGTTTATTCTTTCAGGGTCATAAACCATATTCCCGGTTGAGTCTTTAACAGCAGATATGTAGTTTTCTCTTAATTTTTTTTTATTGGCTAGCTAAAAATTTACCTGATTTATTACTATGGTCAAAGTTTTCTATTCGTAGTCTTTGTGCTAAAAATTGTGTCTTTTTGTCAATAATTCCATGAAGTTCTAATTTAGCTTTACGTAATTTGCTCAGTAACTCTTCTTTTGTGGATGCCTCTAAAGACTTAATGATTTCTTCTAACTGCTGAATACGTTTGTATTTTGTTTTTTTTCATATGTGATGAGAAAGAGATTATTTTACCTCTCATCACTGCCTTTCCTGCCTCCCAAAGAATAGGTGCTGATGTTCCAGGCAGGTCATTATGTTCTAAATATAAAGCCCACTCCTTTTTGAAAAACTCTATAAAACATTTGTCTTTAAGCAGTGATGTATTAAACCTCCAGTTTTTGCTTGGTGGGATTATCATCTTATTTACCAGAGTTAAAGATACTGGAGCATGGTCACTAACAACTATAGGGTGTATCTCAGTGTCTGAAATTTCAGCCAACAATGAGCTGCTGACTAGAAAATAATCCAAATGTGAATGAGAGTGATGGACATGTGAGAAAAAAGTATACTCTCTACGGTTAGGATGAAGAGATCCCCATGCATCACAAAGCCCATAATCACTCATGTACTGTTTAACTATGTTAGTGGATTGCCAATTGTGCTGAGTCCCAGCTGTACTGAGCCTGTCTGTTGAAGAGTTCATCCAAAAACTTAAATCGCCTCCAAGTATAAGTGGACAGTCCAAGTGTTCGGAGAGTACAGAGAAAAAATTATGAAAGAATGAAGGGTGATCAATATTTGGACAGTATATGCTGACAATACATGAGCTTAGGTTCTGTACAGATATTTTTAGCATTATAAATCTACCCGCTGGATCAGAAACTGTGTCCAATACTGTGAAATTGATGTTTTTGCATGTTAAAATAGCTACACCTCTTTGCCTAGAGTTATAGCAGGCAGAGAACATGCTGGGAAACTCAGGTGTTTTAAGTTCATCTGATGATGTGGCAGATCTATGAGTCTCTTGTAATAATATTACGTCTGCTTGCACTCTCTTTAACTGATCAAAAATCATTAATCGTTTCTCTCTGGAGCCAGCACCATGTACGTTCCATGAGACAAACCTTAGTGCACCCATAGATGTGTGTGTGTGTGTGAGTAGCTAGAACATGACGCCTTCATGGGACTAAGATGGAATAAGTAACTAAATGTATGAAACAGTATGTTAATAAATAACAGAAAAGTAAATATTAATATTAATAAAGATCCAACAGTGTTTGTGGTTGTATTATTTGACGCATAAATTATGATATTGTAATGTGGATTTAATATGTGTGTGTGTGTGTGTGTGTGTGTGTGTGTGTGTGTGTGTGTGTGTGTGTGTGTGTGTGTGTGTGTGTGTGTGTGTGTGTGTGTGTGTGTGTGTGCGTGTGTGTGTGTGCGCGCGCGTAATGAGTCTGACGCAGTGTTGGAAAGTTGTGTGGTTGTGCCATACAGTTGTACAGTTGAGCTCTCTTCCGTGGCTTTTAACAAGATCCTTCTGCTTAAAATTTTCAAATTTAGCCACGATGGGACGAGGTCTTCTGCTGTCCACTCTTTTAGCTCCAAAGCAATGTACCCGGTGAAAGGTGATGTTTTTTACCGTTTCTTCGGGTATCTTCACTTGGGTCTGGAGACAGTTCTTGATTGTTTGCTCGCAGTCCTCCGCCCCTCTCATCTGCTCCGGCAGGCCTGCGAACACCAAATTATCCCTCATGCTACGGGCCTGAAGGTCCAAAACCGTCTCCTTCAGAATCTTGTTGTCCTGGGTGATGCGCGACATTCCCTCTTCCAGGGAAGAAAGCATGTGCTGACGGCCGATCACCGGATACACGGCAGCGTTTGAAGCTGATGGCAGCTTGTTAACAAACATCCACAAACAATTAAGACACATTTTCGCCTAATTTATTTACTGACAATGCAAAAAATAATCTGGTAAGTATAACTCACTCAATCTGGAGGTAAGTGAAGAAAATTCAGAAAGTTTACTAAATTATATTGACAAAGTTTTTGAGTTATTCGTTATGGGTCCGAAGAAATCAGCGGCTGAGGCTGAAACACCTGCTGGGACAAAGAGGAGCCGTCCTCAGGACTCACCTGAGGCCTCATCTCCCCAGAAGGACGTATTAGAATTATTAGATTCTATGGATAAACGGCTTCTGGGATTTGAGGGGCGACTTCATCTGCTCGAGGTTCTTCACCAGGAGTTTCAGAACCTCCGAACATCTCTGGAGTTCAGTCAGGAACAGGTTGAGTGGCTCGCTGCTGAGAACGCGTCTCTGCGGGAGTCCGTTTCTTCCCTGGAAGAGGGAATGACACGGATCACCCAGGACAACAAAACTCTGAAGGAGAAGGTTTTGGACCTTCAGAACCACAGCATGAGGGATAATCTGGTTTTCGCACGCCTGCCGGAGCAGGCGGAAGGGGCGGAGGACTGCGAGCATACAATCAAGAACTTTCTCCAGACCCAAATGAAGATAC